GACCGGTCTTTGAGGCGTTTACAATAATTGAAGCCTTCCAAGCCTACAGGTTAGGAGCATATTTGATGCTGGAAACAGACTTTCGGGAGACTGGAACCAGCTGGAGAATATAAAGCTCCCGTGCTTATATACAAGACCCAGTGGCATCATAAACTAACGATATTTCCATATCTTGTAAAAGTATGACTAGATTCAGTGTCCAATAAAAATAAAGATGCTGATGATGCCAATGTTATCCCAGCGCTCGTAGCTACCCACCCGGTGGTCTTGAAACATTTACCTTTAATCACATTTTCAGCCTCCTCACACCTTTGTCCCAGCATCTTCAGGTATCCCACATTCTCAGAAACCTCACTGCGTGGACTCAGACTCAGACTCTGACCGATTGGCTTATCAGATTGCCGTTGTAGCTGATGTCGACTGATTGTCGAGGGGTCTGACATGCTGATACAGGCCAAGCGTTCAATTTGCGACAAATTGGCTTGAGCTAGCGTCAAAGCTGTCGCCGAGGTGGTAGCAACTGCCTCAGGTTGGACCAGACTCGAGCGTTGCTCCGAGTTCGGTGCAGATGAGGGGACGCTGGTAGATGGGGCCTCGAAGAGGCTCGTGGCGAAGCTACTGGAGCATTGAAGAGGAGAAGACGACTCTCTGGACATGCTGCCGGGCGGATGTAGAGCATGCAGGTAGCCGCGACCTGTACGTATGTCAACTTTATCAGTTGGAGGAGGCAAGAAAGCGAATGAACCTTGCGCGGCAGAGGTTTGTGAAGAGAGTGAGTAAGAGCAAGGAGAAGTGAAGAAAGACGAAGATGAAGAAGACGATGAAGCCAAAGAGGAAGAAGGAGAAGAAGAGGGAGAAGACGACGGTGATGGGGAAGAGGATGAAGAGATGGAGGAGTAGAAAGAGGCACTATCGGGCACGGACAATGGACCAGTGGATTTTGGAGGTATCTGTAAGCCTGGATCTAGTTGGTGAGCGCCATACTGCTCTTTTCGTGGCATGGCAACGAACGCCGTGTGGCGATTGGAGGAGGGGTAAAGGAGGCTTGATGAAAGCTGTGCGGAAGAGGAGGACAAGAATAAGGGTGCTTTGGTGCTCCCGAAAGAGTCGACTGTTGAATCGCCGCCAAATGACTGCGTTGCCATAACTACAGAGGGGACAGAAACCGATGTTCCAATTGAGGTGGTAGCTAAAGCTATTGTTGCCGGTACAAGAGGCATCGTAGGCAGCAAAGTCAGATGATTCTTGAAATCACCAGTGACCCATGCATCTGGGGTCCTGGAATACGAGGGTGGAATGTATAAAAGATAAGATTTTATAAATATACCATCGCCTCATATTCCCGAACAAAATACGAGTTATTCTTTATCTTAATGGGGCGATATAAAAGTGTCATTACTCTCTTTTGTACTGGGTGACTCGGACTACCTTTTGAAGAGAAATGTTCTGTAAATGCTTCGGAATTCAGCGTATCTTGGGTAAGGGGTACTCTCCACACTTAAATTATACGATCCGAATTGCTTTTGAGAGTTGCAAGGGATGAATAGCCAATCCGATCTGGTAGCCACGAGGTCACAAATATTCCCTTTTAATGATCCCTCTTAAAGTCAGTTGGTGAGAGCATACAAAATGGTCGATTTTCCCATTTTTATTGCGTCATCGGGTAAAATCTATGCCTATTGGAAGGATCGTATCGGTTTAATTGCATAGTAAGTCAATTTTATAAAAATCTAGTCTAAATAAGACATTCTCCAAAAGATTTGGGGAGCAAGGCTATGTGAAATTCAATCAAGACTCGAGGTATATTCATATGATTGTGGAAAAATTCAACTGCCACTCCTTCATCACCTTAACAAAATAAGGGGAATACATTTCGTATATATGCCCTACTGGTGGTCTCGAAAGCCAAATTATAAATGGAAAAGAAGAAAACAATCAAAAATAGCGTTTTCGCATTTTCCCCCAGCACAGCTTCATATAATCTTTTGCCTCATATAACCCCTTATTATTATTTTCCATGTGGTTCATTGATGAAACACTGAAAAAATGCGAATTTATTCATAAGCAAATGCCAACTATAATTCTCTACTTCCTGCATATCCCAACTTTTTTATAAAGTAATGACGAGTTCAAGTCCATATCTGTATCCTCCTGCAATGGCACATGTTCTTGGTTGCCCATTGAATCCATATCAAACTGTGTTGCCAACCTCATTTCTAACCGACTTTTTATCGAATTATGTCTTGAGAGGCACCGAAACTTGCGATTTCTTCTTTGCCTTCAGCATCACGCATCAGCTGCGATGAGATCTGATATTGCTCAGCCCAAAAACATTCTCTCCTTCATCCAGGTCACCTGAAATGCGGCCCCATGGCGACGGTTCTGGTGAAAATGATAACAATTATGAATGGACCAGACTTAAGGTGGCTGATCATTCGGCCATTATTGCATCGAAACCAACGGGTCTCAAAGCTCTCAGAGATGCCTGTTCTGTGTACATACTCACTTAAAAGCAGACGCGCACTCACGATCCATTCACATTAGCTTTAACCCTTTATCTGAACCGTTTGGATACGAGTACCGGGAGTCTGGACAGCTACAATTTTGATCGTTGAAGCTAAATTGCAAGGAAACTAGTCTTGAACTTGAAAAATAACGCAAACGAACATAAAGGCAAGCTAATATCCTTCTATTTCAGGTAGACAAAATAGTTTCATTTATCCAAATCATATAAATGCAAGCAATTTTTCTATTTGGCATGGTTCGACCTTCCATAGGCTTTTACTTACATTTTGACACATTTAAGCTGACTGTTAGCTTTTAAACTTTCGTTTTCTCATGTAGCCAGCGAAAAATATTTCACTAAATATCAAACATAAAAAGTCTCATGAAGAAACTGAACTAGCCATGGACTCC